CTGCAATTAAGATTGCTGAATCAGATGCTTGGATCCACGACACCAGAGTGAAGAAAGCACCATGTGCAAAGTGGAGAGTGATTGGAAATCCAGAGACTTTAAAATTGACTTTGAAGCATGAATAATTGTCTGAACCTTGTCTTTCTGTTAGTCTTGCAGCCTGAGATGGTAGAAACGTGGACAAAGGAAAAATCGTTGTCAGGCCAAGCACAGGTGACCAATGATTCTCAGACTCAAATCCATAACGTGAATGACTGGTGGGTAGTAGTAGACGGACAAGCACAGGTAAGAGATGAAAATTTATTAAGAAAAGAATGGGATGTAGAAGAAGAAAGGGACGCGGAACAAGTAATATCGGTACCAGGTAAAACTCAGGAGGAGAATTTGATGATAGGTTCGATTACGGAATTTGCAAATTTACAAAATGTATCACAAATTGCTGCCTGTCTACCAATGCCACGGGCAGTTGGAGAATCTATCCCATGGGGCATTTTGACACTGAACATGACTACTGTAGAAGAAAGGAATGAGACCACCCATTGTAGGCAGAAGCCTGTAGTTGGATGGCAGGAGAAGGTAGAGACCATTAAGAAACAGTGGAAATCCCCAAGGAGCAAAGCAGATTGCGCAAAACTGTTGAATTATCAATATATTCCAATAGGGAGATTTAAAAGTGTTGGGTGGTACAGCTATGATAAACCTGTAAAGCTAAATGTATCAAAAATGACCATGAAATGGGAATGTGAACAGGCAAAAGAAGTATCAAAGAAAGAACAGTAATGGGATTCTATATGGTCTATGAGTATACTCCTACAGTTTCAATATATGGCAAAGGCCTCATGGTGTTTTGCATGGGAGGGATTAGAATTCACAGTAGATCCAACTGTAGTGGATAGAAGCACCAACACCAGAGAAAAAGAGGAAGTAGTCCCTTGGTGGCAGTGTGAGCAGATATACAGTTGTAGTACAGTAAGCCAAGTGATCCAGCGTATACCTCCTTTGGCAGCAGCTTTAAAATTTGGTTGTTTATGTCAGGGATTGAAAAATGTCTTAAATGTGACCAGACTTTGGAAAGTGAGCTGCCAAAGGTACATGATCCCAAGTCCCGGACATTTAGTCTGGGCAATGAGTGACGGTACCTGGGCATCTCGTCTACCAATAGATGGAGAAGTTAAACAAATTACTTTAGGACAGCTTACATTATGCCCAATTTGGAAGAAATCTCCCTTTAGAGGAAATGAGGAAAATTTGCATTTGGCATGAGGGATAAGATCGGAGCTGGATGATGATGATGCTTGGAATGATCCAGGGATGGGAGTAAGAATTGGTTGGGCACTGGAACCCCTCCTAAATCCCATAACCGCCTTTAGAAATAGAGCATGGTTATACCTATTGACTGGACAGATTGAACGATTGGCAAATGTGACACATAGAGGATTTAGACAAATGAATATACAGCTGCAGGCTACATCAAGGATGGCCACATAGAATAGAATGGCACTAGATATGTTATTGCTAAAAGAGCGTGGCATATATGGAGTTGTGGAAGGCAAAGTAGATCATTGCTGTACACATATTCTGAATGTCATTGAAGATGTGGAGCATGATTTGGATTTGTTGGGAAAGATAGAAAAGGAAACACATAAAATCAGAGAAGATATATCGGAAAATTGGATAGGCAAAATTATTAGTGGAATGGGATTGAATCTGAGTTCGTGGATAAAGTCACTAATTGAAACTTTACTCATTTTGACATTGCTGTTCATAGTGCTTGGTTTAATTTATCATTGTTTGAGATGAGAACTGGCCCGGAAAACAGAGTTTAATCGAATGATCATACAGGCAGAAGCAAGATAACGAGCCCCACCATCATATGACAATTTGGCATTCAATGAGACTACAATTTGAATATGTGAAAGAATTGAGTATGATTATCAATACTTTCAAAGGGGGGAAATGTTGCAAATACCTTAATAATATAGTTTGAATCCTAGAATATAACTCCAATTTTAGTTTAAAATACGACCTTGATTTAAAATGGAGTTATAGCAGCTATGACAATATATGGTATGTTGAGGCCCTTTGGAACAGATAACTAGTATGGTGTTTGCCTTAATCACTACAGGAATCATTATGGACCCTGAATCAAAACAATGGGTACTGATGATGGATCTTGAGTTAAAATAACTCTGTAACCATGACTCTGTAACCATGACTCTGCTGAAAAAGTGTAGAAATATGCTGTGCTTTGTACCTGTCCGCGAACACGTCTTTAGCGGAGTTATCCCCCATGTTCCCCAGCGCTGGAATAAAGAAGTGCCAGCTTATCTGCTGTGTGTAGATCAGTTCTTTCGCGATTGCCACCGCTAACACTGGGGCTCCCCAGCGCTGGCAGGGCCTGCCGGGGGGGCCCATGTCACAATGGCCTTTGGGTGCGACGAGCCCCCGCGTCACAATGCCCTGGCGGGGGCTGTGGGAGCACGGGGGACCGGCTGGAACTGACTGGGCGTGGCTGCCTCGCTCTCCCCTCAGCGCGGCCAAAGGCGGGAACCGGCTGCGCCCGGCGCGAGGCAGCCCCGCGCTCCCCTCAGCGCGGCCCCGCCCATGGCCGGCAGCGGCGGGAAGCGGCGGGAACCGGCCGTGCCCCCCCCTCCCCTCAGCGCGGCCCCGGCCCGCGGCTCCCCCGTGCCCTCGGGCTCTGCAGGGCTCGGTCCCAGCCCCCGGAACAGCCTCTCCCACCGCCCTCCGGGTAGGCCAGCACGCAGTTCCCCACGGGCTTTTGCGACTGGAGCAGTTTGATCTCTCTGAGCCGCCAACTGCCCGGGGTCCCTGTGGAGGCGAGTGGGACAGCTATCTTCCTGAAGGTCAGGATCCCCACAGACAACACGCAGGTGTCATCACAGCAGAGCTAACGGCAGTCGTCTGCCTTGCAAAGCCATTTTGGAGGTGAATTGTCGTTGGGTGTTTCATTCCCAGAGCCCCAGCGGGGCAGGCCAGCGTGTCCACCTTTACCGCCAGCCTGGGGGTCCCCCATCTGTCTCTTACTGGGAAGTAGAGCAGACGTCAATCCCCCGCCCCCCTCCAGAAGCCCCCTCCAGAGCACGCCAGTGCCGCGATTGAGAGACGGAGACCCAGCTCGATGCAAGGCAGGATCCACTTTATTGAACACAACAACCGCTTTTATATTCCAAACAGACAAAGAGAGACGTGTGTTTTAAGCTGATTGGCACAATGGTTAATCACCTAATACATATTGCAAAAATTGAGCTCATAATTGGCTAATGTCTAAGGTCAGCTTGACTTTTTCTGCAGTTAATTTTCTGCTAGCTCACAGCATTCTTCCTCTTGTTTAACTTCTACTCCTACATCTTGTTTCTATAGCACATGCTTATCTTTAGTTACGAAACCAGCCCTCCAGGAATAAATCGTCCTTGGCTTCAGGGTTGTGACAGTCTGTTTACAGATTGTGCAAGTTACGAGACGCCAAGTTGAGCACGTCCTTCCTAATCAGCTCTGTCTCGCTGCTAGAAGGAGAGACCAGGCTGCCCCCGACACGCCAGAGCCAGGCATCCCCTGCCCTGGCCAGGAGGAGCAGGCGAGATAAACAGCCAAACAGCCGAGCTGGCAGCTGCTGCTCAGACCGCCCCGCGGGCCCCTGACTCGTTCCTCTGCCCCCGGAGCAAAGCTCTCCCTGCAGCGCGGCCAGGCACGGCAGCAGCCTGCCCGGGCTCTGGCCCCTGCCCCAGCAGCCCCAGCCAGCACAGCACTGCCCGTCCTCACCGTTACAGATCTCCCAGCGCTTCTCCTGGCTTAGGTTCCGCAGGCGCTGTGCAGCCAGCCCTAGGCACAGAGCTCCCCTCAGACCTCTGCTCCCCAGCCCACTCCCCGCAGCACGGCCCCCGGCCCTCGCTCGGCTGCACGCCCTCCTCCCCCTCCGCAGGGCTGTCCCCAGGGCAGGACAGGACCCGAGGGAGCTGAGGCTGAGGCTCCCAGCGAGCCCACCTGCATGCGGGGCCCTCCTCGGGGCAGCCGGGGCTCTGGCAGCCCCAGGGCTGCCCCTCGCTGCCAGCGCAGCGGCGGGGGCTGGGGCCGGGCTGCCACAAGAGGGTCCCCAGGGGCGCTGGCTCACCGAGGAAGCTGGCGGCCGCCTCTCGCAAGCTGGCCTGCCTGTCCTTCAGGTACGGCAGGCTCCTGTCGGGCGCTAACTGGAGAGAGCACAAGGGCGCGGGGATGCTGCAGCCCCTCCCCGGCCAGCCAGACCAGTCCCTCCTCCCCCCGGCGATTCCCAGCTGCCAGCCAGAGCCCGGGGGGGGCTGAGCTTCAGGGAGAGCCGCAGGCAGAGGGGGCCCAGGGCTGGGGAGACCCCTCCGTCCTGCTGCCAGGGCCCAGAGGGGCCGGGCTCTCCTTCAGCGCCCAGGGCTGGGAGGCGAGAGGGGCCTGGAGGAGAGCCCCTGGGGCCTCCGTGCTGGAGGGAAGGGGAGGAGGGGGCAGCTCCCGGCTCTGGGCTGCGGGCTGGAGCAGGGCAGGCGAGGCAGAGCTGCGCAGCCCACACCCCAGGCGCGGCAGGCAGCCCTCGTCCAGCCCGGCCCGGGGATTTGGGGGTCGTCCTCACCAAGCACTCCCCAATCAGGCGTGTCTGACATGTCTCAGCCAGGGAGCTGAGCCTCGTCCACCCCAGGAACTCTGCACAGCCCACGAGGGTGTCCCTGGAGGCCTGCAGAGAAGCAGAGGCTGCCAGATGGCACCACAGCCTGCAGAAGGAGACCCGGCGGCCTCCTCCTCCTCCTCTTCCTCCTCCTCGCAGCCAGGCTGCGGGCCGTTCCCAGTCCCTCGGGAGGAGAGGAGCAGGCAGGGCAGGGCAGGGCATTTGGGGAAATGTCTGTGCGGGGCTCTCCGGCCCTGCTGGGGCTGGGGCTGCAGGGACCCTTCCTCTGGGCTGTGCTGGAGGAGGGCTGAATGGGGAGAGCAGGGCTGGCGGGGAATCCCACCTCCCCATCCACCTCTGCAGCAGGCAGCAGCGCGGGAGGAGAAGGCGGGCAGTGGGGGGGACCCGTGCAGGGAAGGAGGGGAGCGGTGGCACCCCGAGGTGAAACACGTTCCCAGGCTCTGACATCCAGCAGCCCTTGCCCCTCAGGCCCCAGACACCCCTGCGGTGCCGGCACCTCCTTCCCCGAGACACTGCTCACTGCACCTGGGCCACGCTCTCGCTTCGGTCGGCCACGTGGAGCAGCAGCGGGAGCAGCACCCTCCGCACTTGCAGCGCCATCTTCTTCTTGTTTCTCCCCTGCTTCGCCACAGCCTTCACCACCTCTCGGAAGAGGCTGATGGAGAGCTCCCACAGCTGGCTGCACTCCTGGCAGGGAGGAGGACAGAGGGCCTTCAGCACCAGCCGCTCCCTGCCCGCAGCGAGCAGGGCCGTTAGCGTGGCTGACGGGAGGGGAGATGCTCTGGGGTCGGATCCTCAACACAGGAGCTACGGGCCAGATCTGCAGGCTCCACGGCCCCAGAGCCCTGAGAGGCTGCACCAGGGGAGCGAGGACCGGGGCTGAGGAGCCCTGAGGACGCTGGCTCGGGCTGAAGGGCAGCTGTCTTTGCCGAGGGCCCATCTGGAGACCTGAGGCTCCCATGGCAGCCTTACATCATCAAAGAGGGGCAGGAGCTTCTCCGCCAGCTGCAGAGCGATGAGGCTGGCCTCCTCCTGCTTCAGGTGGCCCAGCACGTTCCTGAAGAACAGCAGGGCCTTCGTCTGGACATCAGCACTGGCGTCCTGCAGGGTCTCCACGAGGTCTGGCACCAGCACGGGCATTCTTCTGGCCTGGGTGAAACACACCGTTTCCTTACCGTGACACGCCGAAAGCCTGCCCTGGCCAAAATTCACCGGTCGCTGAGCACCAGGCTCCCAGCCCACTCCCCAGGAGGTGCCACGGGATCCACCGCAGCAGCCTCCTGGCAGGCAGTGGCCACTGACGAGGATGCAGAGCCAGCACGAGGAAGGGCGGGAGAGCAGCAGCCCCTGCTCAGCCACCCCTTTTTCCCACCGGCCCGAAGGGGCAGAGGGATCAGGAACCCCCTGGGCCTGGAGGGCTCCCCAGGCACCCCACCAGGCCCCTCCTCCGCAGCAGGCGGGGAGGGTGCTCGGAGCTGGCAGCCCACATTCTGACTCCCAGCCTTGCAAGGCCAAGCCGCCCCGTTGCCCACTGCCCCAGGCCCCGGCTGCTACAACACGGCTCCGCTTGACTCCACCCTGGCTCACCATCTCCGGGCTCTCGGAAAGCGTCAGGAGGACCCTGAGCACCAGCGAGAGCATCAGCGGGCTCGGATGCCTCAGGTACCGCTGGGCTTTGTAGAGGGCAGCAAACTCCTCGGGGTCAACGCCAGCGCAGACCAGCAGCTACAACGGAGACAGTGGTGAGAGACCGGCAGAGCCTGCAGGGCTGCCTCCCCCACGCTGGCACAGAGGAGCACGACACGCAGGGGGGGCCTCCTCTCCCCTCGAAGCCCCCGCAGAGGGCCCATGCCTCTGCCCCGGGCCCAGCAAACTGGCCTGGCTCTGGCTCGTGCCCCTTTCTCTGCCTCTGCCCCTGCCCCAGGGCTCCAGGCTGCAGAGCCGGGCAGGGGGATGCACAGGCAGGGGGGAAGCAGAGCAGCGCCCAGGCAGGGGCAGGCTTCGTGCGTTTTCAGCAGGGCCAAAGCAGCACGGGGTGGCCCCAGGGCTCTGGCCGGGGCTCTGGTGGGTGCTGGGCAGGTCCCTGCTGCCCCTGGCTTGGCGGCTGTGTCCGTGTGGACTGGAGGAGGGGGCCGTTTGGAGGCAGGCAGAGCGGGAGGGGGCCGGGCCTGTTTCCCGGGGGCGGCAGGCACAGCCCCGAAGGGGAGGTGGGTGCACTCTCACTCACAAACAAGGGGTAGATGCAGGCATCCTCCGTGTCAGAGCTGAACACCTTGCGCAGCTTCTGGTCCTGGAGCACGTCAAGCAGCTCCATCAAGACGTTCCACAGAGCCCAAGGCACGGAGAGCGTCACCTCCCACATGGCCAGGGCAGCGCTGCAGACCCAGAGCGCTCGCTCAGCAGGGCTGCCTCGGCCACTGCGCCGTGCCTGGGCCAGCTCCTCCAGAGCCAGGCGGGGCTGCAGCCCCGGCCCTGCCCACCCCCCTCCCTTGGGGTGCCCAGGGGCCCTGCCCGGGCAGGCACAGGGGGCTGAGCTGGGCTTCCCCAGGAGGCAGGGAGGAGCGAGCTCGCTTCGCCAGCTTGGCCTGCTGCAGGCCTGGCTGACCCACAGGCACTGGGAAGCGGAGGGGGATGGAGGGCCCTGCTCCTCGGGGGGGTCCTCACATTGCCCAGGCCCCTCTCCCCATGGGGAAACAAGCCCCCCCGCCCCAGGCTGCCCAGACCAGGACCTGTCACAGGCCGGAGAGATCTTCAGCAGGCTCCCCACCACTTCTTCGGAGCACCACTTGATGAGCAGAAGGAGCGAGTCCAGGCTGTGCCAGGCTGGCTCGCTCTGGATGCGCTCCACGGTTTTGTGGATGGACCTCGTCACCTTTGGCACCTGGAGGGGACACAGGGGCAGGCGGTGCTGCCGCTGGAGTGCAGCCATCGCCCCGGCTGCTGCTGAAACTGCTGCCCTTCGCCTCGCTCTCTGCAGCCTTCCAATGGCTTCGGGGGCCCGCGAGAGCTGCCTTCGGGAAGGAGGGAAGAACAAGGCCTGGCAGGGCTCACGGGCAGGGCCATCCAGCCCCGGGGTACTTACATCCGTCAGCCAGCAGGCAGGGTCTCTCACGGCCATGTCCACGACGCTGCTGCCCATCTGCCTGTCGGAGGCGTCGTCTGCTGCCAAGGCCTCAATGGCCACCAGGAGAACTTCTGTCATTTGCTAAGGCTGGAGGTGTTCTCCAAACACCTGCTCCAGGAAGGGAGGCAGGGAGGGAGGGAGGGAAGACGTGTCACGCCGAGCACCCCGACAGTGCAGCTTGGCTGAGTGGTGCCAACAGCTCCGCATCCCTTTGCTCACACAAGCCGAGGCTCCTGCCGATGACACGGACAAGAGTCCCAGCGAGGGGGGAGCTCCTCACCATCGTCATGTCGCTGCTGTCAAACGAAGAAAACGACCAGGTGCTCTCAGAATCCCATCCTGGCTGGGGAGGCTCCTCTGACCATGGGTCGCCTGCATGGAGGTTGGGAAACACAGAAGAGTCGTCGCTGGGGAGGCAGCAGGGATCTTTGCCAAGAAGCCTCCCAAGCAGTGCAAAGAGCACGGAATTCAGCAGAGCCGAGGGGGGAGGCTGTGCTGGGGCCAGCCGCCAGCCCCGAGCAGCCCCGGCACTCTCGCACCCCTGGGACCAGCGGCCCCCCAGCTGCCAAGGTGCCAAGGCAATGGGATGCTGGCATTGAGCTGGTGGCGCTCACTGGCCCCAAGCCTGCCCAGCCCCGGGGGCCCCTCACTCACCGGCCTGCAGCAGCTGCACCATGGACACCTTGTGGGGCTCCAGCAGAGAGCTGCTCTCCTGGGGAGCCCCCACCTCCTCCCAGGCCACCCTGGGGTGGTGGGGGGGTCCCTCTGCCGTCCTGCAAAATGGAGGAAAGGGGCTGGGGGTGGAGAGGGGGTGCAGTTTAAGGGAAGCTGCCAGGGGGGGCAGGGAAAGACGTGGGTTGCGCCTCGCCAGCTCCGCGCTCCTGCTCTGTCCCATTGCTGTCTGGTCAGACACTGCGGAGCTGCAGCCACGCGGGCTCGAGATGGTGTCATGGGGTGTCACAGGGGCCCATTGTGACCCACCACCCAGGCCGGGAGGGGTAGGGGCTGCACCACGGGGCGTAGGCACCCAGCTCAGCATTGGCCCACAGGCCCTCCTCTCAGGGTGCCCCAGGCCCCCAGCTCTCCTTCTGGCCCCCTCAGAACGCTCCGGGACCCTCCGGCTCAGCCCAGAGCCCCGTGTTCACACGCCTGCCACGGCCCCGGGACCCATCTGGGACACCCCTGCTTCTCCCCCGCTGTGGAGTGCTCTCTTTGCGCCTCAGCACCTTCTGGCACCTCACTCTGGGAGAAAGTCAGCTCCTTTCTCCCACGCTGAAAATCTCTCCCGGCACCAGGAAGCAAAAGAGGTTTACGCCTGCTCCTCTCCTCTACTCTCTGCGGACGCGCCTGTCGATGGGACCGTTCCAGTATCACTTACCAGATGCTGTCAGAACAGGAAACCCCAAAGAAATGTTCTCTTCTCTCCACTGCCGCTTTAACATCTTTAATCCGTGTCCTCCTCTACAGTCTAAGAGACACAGAACGTGAGGAGCCTTTCAGAAAAGTCTTCTCTAAGCACACGGATCTCACTGGGATCCAAACCACAGCCGACTGCTTTGAACAACTTCCAGGCTGCTCCTTCTTTGGGCCTTATAGAGATTTCTTGCCATTTCCAAGGTGGGCAGTGGGGAGGATAGACGCTTCCGGATGGTGTGTCTGCCCTCTCATTACCTACGGAAGCTGTCACTGACATCTGTGGTCATCAACCCTGGCTTGAGGTGCAAATAACCACTTTAGAAAGGAAGAAACTGTTGGAGATGTCAGACCACGAAAGGAGAACACTCGTCGGCCCGGAGTGAAACTGGTGACAGCAGAAAGGGAAAACCTACCAGGCAAAAGACTGGAAAGGACAGCGTCAGGGGGAAAGAGGGACAAGGAGGTGCAGCTGAAAAGGAGCCGGGGACGCCGGGGGGTCCCAGTCCAGCAGCCCCGTGCCTGCTGCCCTGTGCAGCCTGCAGCAGGGCAAGAAACCTGTTTCCCCGACTGTACCGCCTGTGTTTGCCTGGTTGCTGTAGTCACGGGCCGGGGAAAGGCAATCCGCTTTCAAAACCCTTCACCCCACACTGACCTTGCTGCAAAGGGAAGGTCTGGACCCATCCTGTTTGTGCTGACTGTCTAAGACTCCCCCTGTGTGAAGGGTAGATGGGAACGGGCTGTGTCTCCCCGGCCAGTGCTTGTGCCAAGCCCCTGCTCCCCTTCACGTGCCGGGGAAAGGCAATCCGTTTTCGTGGCGTAGATGCAGTTTGCATTCAAAGCACGCAGGGAGCAGCCCTGCTTGCGGCAGGCAGGCGGGCAGCAGCTTGTTCACACCCAGCCAGCAACTCCACCAGTTGTGTTACAGACACCCTAATAAAATAGCTTGGATCCTAGAAGATTATTCTGATTTTAGTTTAGAGTATGATTTTGATTTTAATATGGAGTTATAGCTGCTATGAGAATATAAGGTATGTTAAGGCCCTCAGGAACAGGTAACTAGCGTGATGTTTGCCTTGATCACTACAGGAATCGTTACGGACTTCGAATTAAAACAACGGGTACTGGTTATGGACCTTGAGCCAACCGCTCCCGAGAAGAGCGATTCCCACCTGCCGGTCCTGGCCCTGGCATTCCCCTCCCCACATTCCTCTGCAGATTGATGGCTGCAGATGAAGCACGGCGTGACTCCTCGGGCAGGCTTGCACTCTTCCAGCCTACAGCTTGATCAGAGCTTGGCCATCCCTGTGGCATGCCGGCAGCTGAAGTCCTTCAGCCCATGACACGCTGGCAGCTGGGGTCGCTGCCCGGCAGCTCTGCTCACTGGGCATCATCACCCTCTGGTAGTACCAAGACGTCAGCTCCTAATTCCATGTCCTGAGAGTAGCTTCCCACTGTCACCTGCTGCACACCAACAGCAACAGCACTGTCCTCTCCCCTGCCCAGCTCCACACTCGGGAGAAGGTGTTCACATACCCCTGGCAGCCACCCTTACAGCCTGAAAATTCCTCCTGTGCTGCTCCAGGCCATGAAAACTCTCACACTATGGCTGTACCCGCATCACTGTTCTCATGCCGAGCGACACTGCCCACTTCTGTGTATTCCCACATGTCTACAGCCAGCTATTACCTTCTGTCTCGTAAGCGTTTTGGAAAAGCACACTTTTGTTTTCCTGAATACCTGCTCTGACCTCACTACAGGACAGGCCCAGAGTCCAGGACTGTGGCCGGTAAAGTCCATAGCAGTAGAGAACTGTGCGAGAATGGAAAATACCCAGGAGTTCAGCTCCTTTCAATTGTTTAAGACAAGGCTTTTGGCTGCAACACTGTCCAGATAATTTAAAACCAGAACTCACCTACATGCCCTCCTTGACTGGCACCTCTTTCTTCACCAGTTCTTTGCACTTCTTTCTTTCCTCTGGAGTACTTCTCGAGGTTTTCTGTTTAAGAGACACGAGAGACCAATCACAAAAATGCAGAAAACCTGCCAGTCACACACGTACCGAGGCCCTGCACATACACAAAAGATGAATGTGCTGGGGAGGAGAGAGCACAGCAGCCCTCTGGCCCCCAGGAGTAGTAACAAGAATTGCTGCTCTGAACCGGGGCTCAGTCCCTGTGCAAGTACAGTACTGACCCCGACAGGAGGCTGGGGGTGGCAGTTAATCCCTGCTGGGTTCTGCTGCTCTCTAACACAGTTTCTCTGGGCCAACTGTCAGGTGGTCTGGGCTAACGGTTTATCTGTCAGGGCCGTGGTTTGGGGTTAGTGTTCGGTTTAGAGTTAGGTTTAGGTTTAGGGTTAGGTTTAGGGTTAAGGTTAGGGTTAGGCTTAGGGTTAAGGTTAGGGTTAGGCTTAGGGTTAGGGTTAGGGTTTGTGTTATGGTCAGGTTTAGGGTTAGGGTTAGGGTTAGGGTTAGGGTTAGGGTTAGGGTTAGGGTTAGGGTTAGGGTTAGGGTTAGGCTTAGGTTTAGGCTTAGGGTTAGGATAGGGTTAGGGTTAGGATTAGGTTTACTGTTAGGGTTAGTTTTAGGGTTAGGGTTAGGTTAGGGTTAGGGTTAGTGTTAGGGTTAGGATTAGTGGTAGGGTTAGGGTTAGGGTTGGGTTAGGATTAGTGTTAGGGTTAGTGTTAGGGTAAGGTTTAGGGTTTAGTGTTAGGGTTAGGGTTAAGGTTAGGGTTAGGTATTGTGTTAGGGTTAATGTTAGTGTAAGCGGTAGGATTTATATTAGTGTTTGTGTGAGGGTTACTGTTAGGGTTAGTTTTAGAGTTAAGTTTAGGTTAAGGTTAGGGATAGTGTTAGGGTTAGGGTTAGTTTTAGGTTAAGGGTTAGGGTTAGGGTTAGGGTTAGGGTTGGGTTAGGGTTAGGGTTAGAGTTGTGGTTAGGGTTAGGTGTTAGTGTTAGTGTTACGTTATTGTTAGGGTTAGGGTTAGGGTTCGGGTTCGGGTTAGGGTTAGGGTTAAGGTTAGGGTTAGGTTTAGGGTTAGGGTTAGGGTTAGGGTTAGGGTTAGGGTTCGGATTTATTTTAGGGTTAGTGTTAGGATTAGGGTTAGGGTTAGGTTTAGGTTTTGGTTATAGCGTTACTGTAAGTGTTAGGTTTAGTGTTAGGTTTAGGTTAGGGTTAGGGTTATGGTTAGGGTTAGAGTTCGGGTTAGGTATAGGGTTAGATTTAGGTTTGGATTCTATTACTTCAAAATTGTTCCCATCTCTGATGGCATATCCTGATTTTCTCTTCCCTTCAATCACTCGTGAAGATCCATCTATAAATAATCTTTCCCCTTCCCCCAACTCTTCTTCCTCTAGATCTGGTCTAATCTTTGTTTGCAACTCTACTAAATCTATACAGCTATGCTCGAGTACTGAAGCCTCCTCCCATCCCCCAAACAAAAACTGTGCTGGGTTCTGTGCCGCAGTCGTCCTTAAATCCAAATCGGAGGAGTGAATTAAAATAGATTTGTATTTTAATAATCTATTGTCGGTAAGCCATTTATCTGCTTTCTATTGGAGGATTCCTCTAATGTCATGAGGGGCATATACTACTAAAGATCCCCCGAATGTAACCTTCCTAGCTTCTTCGACTAACAAGGTCACAGCCACCACTGCTTGCAAACACGTTGGCCATCCTCTGCTTACTGGATCTAATAGTTTTGAAAAATATCCCACGGGCTTTTTACTTCCAGCCCAATCCTGAGTAAGCACTCCATAGACAGTATAATTACTGGTATTGACAAAGAGTTGAAACGGTTTATTTAGGTCTGGCAGGCTCAATACAGGAGCCGTTACCAGGGTATCCTTAAGACTTTGGAGTTTTTCATCATCCTGTGACAACCATTTTATCACGT